CGTGCCTTCCTGGCCTGCCACCAGCCGTGTCACCTGCTGTTCTTGTCCAGGGCAGCTCACGGGGAGGCGCCCAGAAGCCGGCGGTGGTGCGGGGAAGCTGGCACTGAGCTGCTCCCCGGAGGTGGCGAAAGGGCCCAGACCTGCCTGCTTCCTGGTCTGACCGCGCCTGCGCCTTCTCAGTTACAGGATGTCCGAAGGGGACAGCGTGGGAGACTCCGTCCACGGGAAGCCTTCTGTGGTGTACAGGTTCTTCACACGCCTCGGCCAGGTGGGTGTCGGGGTGCCTGTGCGCACGTGTGCACAAGAGCTGTGCTGGGCAGTGTCCACAGAGTGGGGTGTGTCCACGGGGCAGGGGTGTCCGTTGGGCAGGGGTGTCTATGGGGCGGGGTGTGTCTGCAGGATGGGGGGGCCCGCGGGGCAGGGGTGCACAGGAGCCTCGCACTCGCTCTCAGGACCGGCTCCCTCTGTCAGGGGCCGTGTCTTCTCAGAGGGGCCAATGATGGACGACCCCTGGTCTTGGCCCCACACTTGGTTTCTGGGTTGTTTTCCAACCTTTAATAATGAGAAAACCATCCTTAGCTCCCAAGCGGTACAGACGTAGCAGCCCCCCGACTCTGATCTGGCCGCCCTTCCCGGCCACCTGCGTCTGCACCCGTGGCCCCTTGCCCGGTGTGTGCACGGCGGCTGGACCCAGCGTGGGCTGGGGCAGAGCGTGTGTGGCGTGCGGCCAGCAGCGCCTCCACGATGCCCCAGCACCACGCGTGTTGTGCTGTCAGTTTTCACGTGAAGAGCGATGTGAACAACTCCAGTGGGAGCGGGGAGGGGTATGTCTGGGCTCGCACGTTCTGTACTTTTATGACCGGGTGAAGATTTCCACAATTAAAACTTAAATGTTAAGATTAAGCAATTTCAAAAGTAGAGTTGGAAGCATACATACTAATTACACACGTGCAGGCACGTATACGTGTGTGTGTGCATATAAATTCGAGTTCCTCTGCAAACTCCACGGCTGCAGTGGTGCCACCTGTGCCCGCTCCACGCTGCTGGTTGGGCCGGCTCCTCGGGGCCTGGGCTGGGTCCTGCGTGCAGGTGGCGACTCCGAGGTGCGCACTTTCCTGCCTCGGGCAGGCCTCCTGGTGCTGAGGGCGCCTGCGGTGAGAGCTTGTTCTGTGCTGTGTTTGCCCGCGGACTGGACCTGCCTCCAGTGGTTGCCATCAGTTTGGGGTCAGCGTCATGGCTGCCGCCCGCGGATGCTCCGCCAGAGGCCCGCGGGGTGGGGGTGCGGGTGGGTGACGCGCGTGCCCTCCTGCCCTGTCCTTGCAGATCTACCAGTCCTGGCTGGACAAGTCCACGCCGCACACGGCCGTGCGATGGGTGGCGACGCTGGGCCTGACCTTCGTCTACATGGTCCGGGTCTACCTGCTGCAGGTGGGTGTGGCCGCGGCGAGACGGGCCGCGTCCCCGTGCTGCTGGGCTGCTGCCTCTGCCTGGCGTGCGCGTGCGCTGTGGTGACTGCCGGGCCCGAGGCGGGTTCTCGT